AAAACCCTAGATTAATATCATCAACTAAGAGAAGTCTGAATTCATCTAATATTAATGATCTATGTTTCATGTTAAGTAACCTATGGATTATTTATGTAGATGAAAAACAAAATAGTTCCCGGAACGGGATTTGGACCTAAGGTATCTTGGTAGGAAATAACTTGTTTATAATGTGATTTTTCTATTTTACAATTCAATAGTTCATAAATTCCCGTGAAATATAGTGTTAAAATCTTCACAAAATCGTCCTTCTGTTCACTTCGAGTCTACAAAGTCATCGTGGTTTATATGCCTTTTAAAACTTAACCCTAGAACATGATCACCACACATCTTAAAATACAAAAGTTTATAACATTTTTACTTTAGTTAACGAGTTGGCAAATATAGAAATGTTTTACAAAGAAACGACTTGTATTTTAAACATAAACCAATTACAGTTCATAACAGTTCTATATTTAAAACATGTTCAGACCTTTCTCACTTATACCCCAACATAACGACTTTCTCCATTTTTAATTTAATTTAACTAATGACACAAGTTGATTCATGCACTTTTACTAAAAGCTTACAACTTATCATGAAGCTAAATACGGAAATTCGAACCAAGCCGCAATAGGTGTAGAGATATTTTTCTTTTATGTGTTTTCTATAAAAAATAGAAGGAGGCGACGAAGAAACTATTACTAAAGAACAATTCATTGTAATATTGTATATTTCGTGCTGAAATTCTTTACTATAACCAAGACAAATGTTGCTGAGGAAATTGACTTTTATTATTTTTATTGACTTTAATTTGAAAATCACTGGTCCCTATTCCTCTACTAACTATTATATTAAAGGTATTTTCCACAATACACTAAGTAAAAACATAAAACAACGAGAATGGCAAAAGAAAAAAATATATACAGCAACAATTAATAAACAGTTGAGATTTACCCATGTTTATTATTAACATTATTGCTTTCATTACTAATTTACACAATTATTTCAATAACAAACAAACAAAAGAACACAACTTATCTGTACATTAAAACAAATAATTGATCATAGTTAATATGGATGAAAACTATACTAACAATTATAACAGTGAATATTGCTTATTGAAATGAACAAAACAAAACAAAACATTTCCCCTAATATCTTTCTTGTTTTACATTAATATACATTACAAATAAAAAATATAGATTAGTTGGAGAGATTATTTCATATGATAATTAGTTTTTCTTTCAGAAGAATGAATATCTCCAAAAAAAAAAGGAATTAGTTAGTTAACATTTATTAATTAATTAAAAGTAAAAAATAAACGAGACATGAAAATTGAAATGATAATGATTATAGTGATTAAGAAAGGCATTGAAAAAAATCTCAACATTTAAACAATACAATTCAATGTAGGAGATTCATCAAAGTAAAATTTGTTAAGTTACATAGTAGGTTGTGATTATATAATAACTGTTATTATTAGTATAATGATTGGTGAACTTTGGCAATTGAACAATAATCTTTTGAGATCAAGAAGGAGAATGAAGAAAGGAAGAGAATCAATAATGAGGAATGTACACATGTATGTGTTTCTCTATTTCTTACTTAGAATCCATTAGATTCAAAAACAGACAAACATGTATTGAACAGCAGTCTATAATAAGTAGTGCTGGTTGTTTGCTGAGCAACAGAGAACAGGGGTAAACACATAGTTCCTGTGTAAAAATAAAATAGTTGGAAGGAAACAAACAAAGGAATACAGTAAACAAGAAAGTGTTGATGAATGATGACTCAGTTTAAAAAACAAAACAGTGACAGAACAAACCAACAAAATAACCGCCATAACAATTACAATGATATAGGTAAAAAATAAGTTAATTTTGATAGTATTGCAAAATAAATTATTTACGTTAATCAATAATAAAGAATTTTCTTCTAATCGCATTAGTAGTAGTGACAATCATAGTAGTACAATTCATGTAATCTGAAAAATGTGCAACATTAACAATGAAAAAAAGACACATGTATGGTCTGATTGAGTAAAGACAATGAAACTATCTTTTTGGTAACATTTTATTTTCCCCTTTTCCTCCCCTACCATACACACTCGTTTTCTCCCAAATAAATGAATTAGGGAACCAGAAAGTAAATATTATCCGTACACACTGAATTGATAAAATGAAGAGAATAAGTCACATTGAGCATTTTATTTCTTGTTAGTAATGATTTTGCAAACTGTACAGTTATATATATATATATATATATATATATATATATATATATATATATATATATATATATATATATATATATATATATATACGTGTACATGTAACATTTTCCAGATAATTGAGGATAAGATGAACAAATAAATAGTACGAACTGTAGTATATATATTATGATGAGGAATGGAAATACCGGATATGAAAGATAATCATACAATTTATGCGTAAGTTTTTCTCTTTGTTCACTTTACTCTTAATTATACATAATACCAGTGGAATTTTTCTTATTCATAATTTACACACATGAAAAAATAGTTAATTTTGTTTACAAACAATTGACTAATATGAATATAATCACATTAATCCCCTTTTTTACATTAACGAGAAGAAATGAAAATAATATGAATTGGGTTTCATTAACAGAGAGGAATTTTCTTTTTTGTTCTTTTTTGGATTGACTGATTGATTGTGGAAAATATATATATGTTTAATAATTATAAAGATCATTTTATGACCTATATTTGTGTGTGTGTGTATTGGTAATACAAATATCACAGTATAACACAATAAATGATAACTCAATTTAAGTTTATTTATTATTGAAAAACTTTATTAGATGTTGAGGCAGATGAATCCCAATCATTTGAATGACATAGTGGTATTTGATTAATCGATGTATTTTCTTTCACTTCAACCTGAAATTTCAAGGTGAATAACAATAAAGACCCTTTCACATGATAGAAAATTTATTTCTAACACATAATAAATAAATGCGTATGGATAGCACATATGAATACTAAATATGAACTAATATTGTCTATATAACATGAATGTTATCTGTATAAAGATGACGATTTATGAAATGATGAATTTTAGTCAATTGAAAAAGTAGTGTACTATCAAATTGTATAATTAAAATTATATTGAAATTTGAAAAGGTGACAAGTTTCTTCGATATTTACACAAACAGATATGCAGTAGTTTGACTATAAGCACTTTAACAATATCCACTATGATGAATTATTTCCAACCTCGTTGATACTAATTCACAATTAATTCTTAACGTTAAATGGTTTATTTAGTGGTTTTATTCGTTTTAATATCACCCTATTTTTATGGATTTATTCTTTGTATATTGCCTACTATTTGAACTGATACATTTTTCTGAAGACTTATACATAATCTTATAAGTCTGATATTAAATATTGTTCAAATATAACGTTATGCTAAATCGATACACCTATTAGATTGCATTTGGTTTTTATCATTTCATCTGTGTATCAGCCAACTAGATCAAAAATTCCATATTCTTTACCTCACGGAACATCTCTATTGATATCGGTTAGCAAATATACACATATTTATTTCATTTTGAAGTGAATTGAACGAACTGTAATGAATTAAGAATATTCTAAATTTATTTTTTTCTCATTCAAACTGAACAAATTACACCATATTGTGTTATACTCATGTCAGTCTTGAGTAATTGCGACAATATATGACGTTGAAACAATCACTAAAGTATTGAGTGATAATTATAAATAAAATCGAATAAATTAAACATTATTTAATAAGAAATAACTTACAGGTCTTTGCCATGCCAAAAACAAGCCTTGCTGATCTACAATATGAATCGTATCACGACGAAAAACAAGATCAGTTACTCGATCCTTTAAGATTCGTGTACATACAAGTGGTTCAAGTATAGGTACATCACTGATTCGAGGGCACAGCGGAGAACCAAAAATACTAAAAAATTTAGAAATGACATTTTAAGATCAACCAATAGCACAATAAATAAAGATGGTTTTTACAATAAACCGTTAATGGTCAACTCAAATATGGAACTTATTTTGAGAATGTAATGATAGTGGTACGTAATTTTAACGCCTAAGCTGGTAGAATTAGTTAGTCCCAACGTAGAACCTGGTACATATGCACATCCGTTCAAGTTTTCATAACCCATTAGCACAGAGAAATGAAATTGTCAGGCCAAATTTCAGAATAGTGGAGGAAGTAACAGTATCAGTGGTGATGAAACTAGGTATCAAAAATACTATACGACAGGAAAATATAAATTAGTGAAGTAAAAGCGAAGAGTGACGAGAAATCTATGATCTCAGAATCTGGGAAAAGACAAAGAATAAATGCACCAGCGCCATTGCAAACGATTTTGAGCCGTCATCCAGTCTACAACCATTGGTTACGATAATAGCGTGGACCCCAACCCGGTAGTCTATGTTGCGAGTCTGGCTAGTTATCACGTGATTTATTCGCCAATCGAAATACGACTTATCCACTCTTGCACTGTGCTAAACCAATAACTAGTATGGGGGTTGTGGAGATTATTACGTTTTTGATTGAGATCATGAACCGATTGATGTTAGACCACCACCTTTGGAAACCTGAAAGCACTGCACGGCCGTTTCGTCCTATTGTGGGACTCAGCAGTGCACATCCACTGCTGAGGAGTTCCACAATAGGACGAAACGGCCGTGCAGTGCTTTCAGGTTTCCAAAGGTGGTGGTCTAACATCAATCGGTTCATGATCTCAATCATAAACCAATAACGTTCGACCGGTATGATCAGCCTAGTGTCTTTATTATTACTTTGTTCGCCTAGCCCGTCCAGTTGAGTCCAGAACACCAATAACAGCTTCCACTATGCGAATCACTTATTTCAAACACACTTCGTTTATATATCAACCAGACGGACCGCATCACATAAAATAGGAAATAACATTTATACACGATCAAGTCGAAATGTGGCTGTGAATGTGGGAGAGTGCAATCAATAAACTGAACATAACTTAAGAACAGTAAATCGTATAATAATAATCTATAGGTCAAAATGAAGCTTATAATAATAAGAACATGGGATACATAAGCTAGTTACTGAATAGGAATATATATATATATCGGAAGTTACTCGTAATTTAATCTTCACTAGGATATAATAGTCTAAACCTATTAACATGGCTGTTTAATCATCTGTGACTTTATGGACTGATACCATGTTTTTGTTTGGCCGCCCCCAGCTTTCTTCTAGCCTACTCATACACAAGAAAGCATCGCCCGTTGAAGTAGGCGGTAGTTCGGCATACGTAACACATGTCCCGACCACCTAAGTGATGTGAACAGATAAACATAGAGGCCAGGACAAACAACGGAGGCTATTTTTGGGGACGTTATTTCACTTAATTCAAAGTTGGTAGAATACTAATATTCAATTTTCTTTCTAGTTTACTGTATAAACCATGAGCTTTCGTTTAATGTATGATTCACTGACATACTCATTTCTGTTCCAAAGCTATTTTGATTTAAACTTAACCTTTTGTACTCTATTTTTCTTCCCCAATGCCCAGTTCGGACGTAATTGTATTTTTTTTAAATTTTATGTGTTGTGGTCGTGTTGGCCATCTATTTATTCATGTATCTTTTTACTTTAATCTGAGTGGAGAATCGGGAATCACGAATAAATTGAATGGTGCTCCAACTGACTCATCTTCTCTGTCGCTTGTCAACTAATCAGATGATAGAATAGTTTTTGTATCTTTGCCCAAGGCCGTCAATATCAGTTAGGACTCACGCATTTCCAGTCCCAAGGTTAAACCAGTTAGCCTGTCGTGTCAAGGCCTTGACCTAGATTGAGACAAGTTCTCTTCTGTATATTATTGGGTAGACAGATCAAGGATGTAATACTCAGTTGAAGATTTTCTGCCACATCAATCGATTAGTCATCCTTACCTAATGCCCTATTCCTACTTTAGGCATTGTTTACTCTGAAGTCCCAAAATACACGAGCAATACTTCGCAGACACCTACGATCGAATATTAGTAAATAAAAGGCATTTTCACAAATCTTACGGTATCGCATCTCAACAAACAGATGACGGTAGTCGGCTATTGCAAATAACCATTTGTTCCCAGCAAGCACTAACTTTAAGTATAGAGACATCGTCTAACATGCAAACCCTCACAGTCAACTCAACGATGGACATGAACACACCATATTGTCATCAACTAGTGTAGTACAAACTCGATAAAAGATTCCAGCTTATTCTAGAGATGCTAAAAATCTGATGTTCTAGTGTGAGAACATGTTTATCTAAATTTTACTGGACGCAGAAAGCCACAGTAAGAAAATCCATAAGAGTTAACTTTATCGGTGAAAGTCGAGAATATATTTCAGAAACAATTAGCTAATCCGTAAGTCAAATATGAAAAAGATATTTACACTGAGGTGACGTGGCACGATAGCAGAACACCTGTGTAAACAGTAATACTATTAATCAGAAACCAAAATCAAAATGCGAAGATACACTGAAATGATGAGCTTGTGTCACGTTTTACTTTGCATATCATTGACTGACTGAAAGGATTACTTATGAAAAACTCTTAAGGTGTATACGTAAGCTATTGCAATCACGATAAATGACAGGGTAATTTAAGGAATCAAGATTGCTTATAGAATTTTATAATTATGAATGTCCACCAATGTCACATAAAAATCGAAAAACTACTAAATAAATGTATTTAGTGTCAGGAGCTTTCATCATATTAGGCCTTGTTATGAAGTCAACGACTGATAAGTATTTAATTCTAAAAATTGTGCTCTGAATATATTTCCACTGACGTTTTTAAGTAAGAGTTTTCCAAGTCTTTTTCATTAACTACACTGTGAGTGTATGTTTCGGTGATGCTGCGCGGTTGTCCAAGCCAAAGTGGCTGGAGTGGGGTTCGAGCCTGAAACTCAAACTCCCTAACCACCAAGTCATCACTCTATGACTTTGTGTAGACTCAAATTACATTTTTCTTACCGAGAAAAAGGTAGTAATAACAACAGACAGACTACGAGGGCCAACCAGAAAATAAATGCAACAAAAACTATCAAGTACCATTGAGGCTTTATTAGACCATAGTCTGAATTTTATGCTTAAAAATTGTCTAAATTCAATGGGATTCTAACTTGTCTGTTTTTCCAATTATACAAGTGTTCATCCGAAAACAGCCTTGAAAAATACTGATTTTAAAACCTAGTGTGAAAGTAGTCAGAAAACATACTTATGTTCAGCTATTGATAACATCCATCTAACTTCACTTAAACGACTCAGGTTACAAGCTTTAAGTGAACTAGTTGCAGATCCATTAAACTTTTCTGAATTACCAAGACGAGGAAACCGAACACTTGTACTAATTCGATTACTTGAATTTGAATTTGACCAGTGGAAACCACGAAGTGGGAAAATGGATTTGGATTTATCGGATCCGCTACTGTTTGTCCCGTTCGACGAAGGACCAGATGAAGGTATGGGACTGGCAACATTCTTGCGTTTATTCAAGAAACGGCTATCACTCAATTTGACTGGAGGTCGGGTGGAGTGAATATGTGGAGAAGAAACAGTTGAAGAAGTAGATGAGCCATTTCCTGACTGTGGAGATGGTAAAGCTGTAGATGTATTACAGCTCAAAACAGAACTAGACGTCATATTTAAAACAGAAGAGTTTGTTATATGAGGAAAAGTAGTATCACAGGTGAGATTCCCGAAGCTGTTGTCTGAATTTTTTATTGCTGAACGAATAAATGCAACTCCTTGACGAATTATATCATCTGTCAGATCCCATAAACACAACATGGTGTCATGCCCAACTGAGCCAAGACTAAAAATTAAGAATACAAAACATTTACACAAAAGTTAGGAAAATAATGTGACAAAAACTGGACTAAACTGTTGAAGTAGTTTTATGGGTGCTCATAGGAATTATTTCAGGCACTTTACATAGCACTATAATACTGAATTGGTAAGCTTACACCGTAAGTAACATAGCAATGCAAGTCAATTTTCGGCTAAGAAATAAATATGGAATCGCTCACAACGATTTCATACTTTCCAGTAACGCTCACAAGTTACAAGACTGTTTACAGTAGTAATCACGAGATGAAACAATGGTCAAAAGCAACAACAACGATATGGAACTATTTGCACTGAGTTGCCTTTCAGCAGAAATGTTCACTAAAGACAACAAAACAAAAGTGTGACTTTTGAATCATCAGGCGTTGCAATCTCTATCGACAAGGCTCTATTTATAGTAACTGATGAATGCAAGTGACTTAGACAGGCGAAAACGTAACCACGTGCTTCTACAAGTCCGAAAGTAAATCCACGATATTATTTGATACAAGACTGACAATATCAGTCAGTCAGTTAGACATAGCTTAACGTAAAATGTAACGCATGTTCATCAGTTCAGTTTTTGATATCATATTAGCACAGAGATTTATTTATTTATTTTAACACATCGATATTGGTAAAAGGAGGCACCAAATACATATGCGCCACACAAATCTCATTCAATATGTGTGAGGACTGTGATACTACGTGGGTGCCCAAACCGAAGCAGGTGGTTTTCTTAGGGGACCACTCCCCGAGCCTTCGACCTGAAGGTCTGATCCACAAAGCAGTGGAGCATCGTGAGGAAATGCAGTCCCATGGAAGCCGGTGACCAACGATTGGTTCATACGCCATTTGTTCCCGCAAGATACTGGAGCCCATGTGCACCATTGATTCGGAATCCGGTTAAAGCGCCGGACATTCGCTTTTCGTCCTCTCAATTTCGTAAACAACACCCCCCCCCACGAAAAGGCAGTGAGTAGGACTTCCCTGCAGAGGCTATATACGCGTGACCATGTGAGAGCATTTTGAGAGGAAGAGCGGACTCTCCCCACTCTCGGCCGTACCAGGGCATTTGGGGGCCAGAGATTAAATTATTAAGAAAAAATCCTAGAATCGCAAAATTAGTAATAGAATCAATAGTAGTAGTTAGGCATAAAAAAGGTTGTAAGGAGACTTCGGGACTCAGGTTCTAAGGTAATACATAGAGTGAATACACCTGTGCCATTGCAAATGATTCTGAGCCATAGCAACAAAAGTGTATAACCATTAGTCCCTAACTTTCTCCCATCCCCAACACAAGACAGAATTACGCGTCGTGGTAATCGGTGTTCAGGCATACGTAACATGTGACCCATTCATCTTAGTCGATGAAGATTCACGACCTCATCAACTGATTAACCATCATTCCCTAATACCCTACGTCTAACCTCACTACCACATACCCTGTGATCCCAGCAGATGCCAGCAATATTTCTAAGGCATCTGTGGTCAAATACTAGTAGCTTACGAATATCTTCTCTTAATGGTCACGTCCCGACCGTTGTTGCTACCTTGACGTGGTGGTCGGGCTTGCCTATCGTGATGAAGCAACCGAGCTATACTGGCTGGAACAACTGTTCCCCAAGGTCCTACCATGTCAGACAGGTCCGTTGAAGAGCGGTAAGACTAAGAGCAACAGACCCAAGGTCCGAAGGTGAAGTCGTACTGCTGACTGTACAGTGTGACAGCAGTAAGGTGTTTCCTTCAGACAACCAGCATGACAGCGATGCTGTCTTCCCACAAGGAGGGGTGGGGTTAGAAAAGATCGACCCTAAATATAAACACCTCACCTTATCCCACGGATATCCGTCTCCGGCGGTAAGGTTTCAACAAGTACGGAGCTGACACAAAAATTACTCATAGGAAGATACCTCCAGAAGAACCCTTCCATGGTGTGGGCAACCGGGAAGTGATAACCGCCCTCATACCTCTAACAGCACTCAAGACCACTGTATTCCTAATCAACCTCCGTCTTCAATTCCTATTATTCCTCCTACATCGACTTTCACTTCTAAACTTCCTCTTTCGGCTTCCCCCTCAAGTGTCACCATAGCCAACGATTCTAGTGCTCAAAACACTGTCCTAGGTCTACTGAAACCTCGCTCCAAACTACACATTGGAGCCTTCAACGTACGCACCCTATGTCAAATCGGTCAACAGGCTTTCTTGGCTAAAACCCTAGAATCTCGTACCATTGATGTGTGCTGTATCTCTGAAACACGCATACAGGATCCTAGTGTGGTCATTCACTTGATCTCACCTCGGCAAAAAGGAGAACCAACGAGATACACCCTCCGTGTATCTGGTGACCCGACGGCCAGCTCTCGTGGACTGGCAGGAGTAGGGATAGCACTAAGCATGAGGGCGGGACAAACACTGTTAGTGGATCCCCGTTAACAGTCGTTTATGTGCTGTTCAGCTAAACGGCTACGTAAGAACTCGGAAGGATAGGGACACACGTCGTTGCCTTTTCGTCGTTTCTGCCTACGCCCCCATCGACTGCAGCTCAGATGAAGTGAAAGATGAATTTTACAGAAAGCTAAACGTTCAGACATAATACTCGTAGCAGGTGACTTTAATGCCCAGATAGGTAGTTTAAACCAAACAGAAAGGCATTTAGGTGGGCCTTTTAGTATTCTGGCACAGCGAACAGATAATGATGATCGTCTGCTGCAACTGTGCTCAGACAATCGTTTATTTTTAGCAAACACAAATTTTAAGCATAAGGAGAGACATCGTCTAACATGGCGACCCCCTACACCAAACCAACGATGGACTCAAATAGACCATATTGCCATCAGTCATCGTTGGAGAGGGTCGGTAGAAGATTGTCACTCATTCTGGAGTACCTGCTTGGACTCCGACCACACCCTAATACGGGCACACAACCACTTGCGCCTCACTGGACGCAAAAAAGCCACACCAAAAAGACCCATTAGAACTGAATTGAGTAGCGAGAAAACCAGAAGTAGATTCCAGGAACAACTGAGGTCGCACGCCATTTGTTCCTTCAGGATACTGAAGCCCATGTGCACCATTGGTTTGGAATCAGGGTTTCCCAACCCCCTAGGTGGACTCTCAGTGTCCACCAACCTAGTTAAAACGCCGGGCATTCGCCCTTTCAAATTCGTGAACAACACCCCTGCCACGAGAAGGCAATGAGCAGGACTTCCCTAGCAGAGGCTATATACGCGTGGCCATGTGAGAGCATTTCGAGAGGGAGAGCGGACTCTCCACTCTCAGCCGTACCAGGGCATTTGGGGGCAGTACAACTAAACATTTCTGACTGACTTTGATGACCATAACTCGATAAAAACACCTTTTCAGTATGTATTTACTTTGTACATAAAATATTAGGTGATGATAACATATTTAAATACAATGTGCACATATGTCATACAAATGACTTCTGATGGGCTAAATATTGCTATCTTAACTTTTAGGGCAACTGAGTTAAATGACATTTTTTCACTGGTGGAAAAGATGAGTGATTATCAGAAACTCAGTATTATTAGATGTTCCAGTCTGATTATAATTAGTAGTCCGATTTTCAAGCAACGGATATTTGAGACATAGCTAGTCCAAGTTAAGCACAGACTGGGTAGAAAACTCCGCGGCAAATACTGATTCGGTACACTTAAAGTTTGAAAATATTGATTGCACAAGATCAACAGCCCTCTTTCTATTTGTAATCTTCCCTATAATTCGGACACTGATATGTTAAGCATAATGCTGCAATGTTACGTAGTTTCCAGTATTTAGGGACAAAAAGAGACTTCATAACACTTGAGTAGGAGTGTCGCTAACGAGCAAATAGAATCCGATATAGTGTATTATCTTAAGCGATACTAATGGGATAATTGACAGTTACAGCATTCGAAGTAAAGCAAAAAGGATTGGCCTTTGAGTGGAAAAAGAAATATAAACCTTTGTTAGTATCCCGAGGTTTGAATTTTAACTTATAAGTAATTTGTCAAAATAGGGCTTCAAAACCATTATTAAAGAAAATAAAAATACCAAAATACTAGAAAAGACGTAACAAGAGAGCAACTAACCGGTAAGTTCTAAGGTCATTACTTTCACAAACTGTGACAGGTGAATTTCTAATAACTGAACTTTCGTCCAACCCTTCATGGTTCGTTGTAAGTGAGTGGGAACGTGAGGAGGCAGATACTGAGTCATCATCAGAAATATCGTTATTAGTGGGGCACAGATATGGATCGAAGCGCACCATGCTAACCCAAGATTTGTGGCCCTGACAGCGACAAATAACAGCTCTGTCTAGAACTGACCAAATCGTTACTAGGTCATCTTGTCCCCCAGTGACAATAAATAAACTATCTGGAGACCAGTCTACACAAAGTAAACCACCAAAGTATGAACGCATGAACCCCTATAACAGAGAAAAACATCCAAAACAACCAATATTCTAAACAGCCAATTTCAACATAATGCTGTGAATTATAAGACTAAGAAAAAACTGGTAAATTTAATACACTGAAATCTTGTTACAGTGTTTCATATTTAAAACCTCGTAGTATTTGAAAATGAGTATATGCACTGCGACTGATCAGAACAAACATGCAACTGGTGAGTTTACTAGTTACTTACAAGTCCCTTCAAGTTTGGTGACGAAAGGCACAATAATCTATTAGATGTATGTGGTACGAATCTCGAGAGATATAATGAGCAATGTTTAAAACTAGATCCGGTTATTAGTACCAGTTTTCACACAGTTCAACAGGTAGGAATAGTTACCCAAACGACTCGAACAAGCACTAAATAGTTCTCATTTGGGTAAGGTAAATTCAACTGATTTAAATACATTTACATCCAAAGATTTAACAACTAATTTCCATTTAGTGTGTTACACCTTCCACTTGGAGGTTTTACCACACAGGACAAGCAGTTAAAGTACTACTAGCTCAATACATGTAGATTTTCAGTATCTATTAAAAAGGCCGAATTTCACGACTTTGCAATAAAACATACTCAATTACTGCTGGATTGTCACTTTACAAGATACAGAAAATTTCTCGTCATATGAGCTTAACGTATCTATGCTGTTTTCGATGATACAATAAGCGCTCGTACATCTATCAAGTTAGATAACACAGACGTAAGCTAAAATCACTACTAAGAACATTGCATACCATTTATTATATTCTTCAGTAGATGCTTGGTACAGTCAGAAGACTTTTCTGACCACAAAAGATCAACTGTGACCAGTCTCACGAATTAAACTACAGTGTTCTATAATGATAGGATTACCTTTGACGGGATAAACATTAATCATAATTTCGACCATAAATAAACGTCCTGATGGGTGAGTAGAAAGAATGAATTTGCTTGATTGTGACCCACAAATTCACATGACCTCTTGTGTAAGGATAAATGTTTGAATTTTTGAGATACTTTTTATTAAATTATTTGCTCATAACCATACTGTCAGAGTCAAATAAACTGGGCGCTATAGAGATATATACTGTAAACTGAGCATAACCCCAATCAAAACCAGGATATTCTTACTCTAGCGTGGGTGTATTTCTGTAAGACAGAAAGATAGAACACCTTTCTCAACGCTTTGAAGGACTGTGAATCTCTGATGAGTTTTTTTTAATATGAATGTGGGATGATGTGATAAAACAAGTACAAAACAATACCTAAACTGTAAGAGTTCATCAAATTTACCTTATTTTTCAAAGCCACATCGCTCTTCATGGTTTGGTTGTCTTTTACTGAAGCTGATTTTCCACCTTATATAAAATATAATTGGTCTTAAAACATCACTTTACGTCCTTATTTGGATCTACAACCAAATATTGGACGAAAATAGGACGAAAACTAATGCACAAAACATAGCCGAGAAGTATTTGTTTCATAATGTCTCAATACATTTGTAAATCCCAATAGTGAATTATCAAATTTCAAAGATGAGAAAGAAATGCGCTCTTAGTTGTTTAAAGATATTAAATAATGAGGCACCATGCAGTAAAAACTCACGTATAGCTCCATCTCATGATACTCCATCACCCTCATGTAACCATCTTCTGTAATGATGGCAAGGAAACGGCCACAAGGAGAAAATGCAAACTGATTGATGGAAACATTATTATCATCAAATAATGAGCTAATAGCTGATGAGTCGCAACTTAACGAATCGGTTTGCGTCTCACATATTTTGTTGGCAACGAATCCATTAACGTGGTCAGAAGTTTTTGACGGTGGTTTCGTGTTATCCAACTTTGATGTGTTAGGACTTCCCAAAGACCATCGATACAATGGGTTTCTTGTAGATTTCGTCTTACAGGTATGTACTGAAAACCCAATACCTTGTTTAAATAGGTTATATGTTGGAGCTGACAGCTGTGCAAGTGTTTCATCGTACAAATACATACACCCACTCGAATGACTGACTAAGAACTGGTGAGGTGAATGAGGAACCCAGCCGACACAAGTTACGGGAGTTTCATCGACAGACTTCTATGAAAGCATGAAATGTAGAAAACACACATACCCCTTCATTGAAAACTTTGTTTGGGTCTTCTTTGAGAGGATCAATCAACTTTATTTCACCATTGGCCAATCCAATCAATAACTGAGAGTCTCTTACTTTGTCTGTGGCACGTCTAAAGCAATGTGATGTTAAAGGTGCTCTGAATCTAATATGGGCTGGAGAACCACCACAGAATCTGCGCTCGTTCGAAGAATGCGCGTGATCCTGTGTATATATGCGTATTTCATTTCCTACGTTAATGCAAAATATGCTGCCTAACAGAAGTTACAACCAGTAATTTTAAAAAGATCAACGAACCATCGATACTTGTGTCTGTTTGAAAATGAGGAGTCTCATTTTTGCAGTAGTATTCAAGGAAAGATAAGCGGATGGCAGCGTTACCGACGCCAAATTGATTCATTTGTATCTGTTTCTCCAGCACACATGGTTCGGACGTAAAAGATTGATATCGACCTTCTATTGCATCGAAAGAATGTGACATAGGCGGAGATAGACACAGGTTGATATACTACGACACGACACACCATATGAAAAAACCACGACAATCTCTAGCACCCATAGAATACTTCCAGCAATCCGCCAACCTATTCCATGTGACCTAGAGTTAGTCTGTCTTGTAACAACTTTAAACAGTGTGGTTTTGTTTCATTTAAGAGACTTTTAATTAACTAGTAAAGTTGCAATATTTTAGTGAGTTTACATGCTTCTAAGAAATTCGACCTTTCGAAATAATGTAACTTTTGTGCCCAGTGTTGATTCAGATCCAGAATTGTGTAGTAAGGACAGAAGGCCTACGGCCTATGTTGTTCCTTTTCTAGTATGCTTCTATGAGTGTCTAGTCTTCTCTTGAATGAGTCAATTGGATGTGCGGACACTACTACTTTGGGTAATAGGCTTCAAGAATTAATGATTCGGTGTGAAAACCTGTATGCCATGGGTATTTTGTTCGTTATTGGCTTTTCTACTCGACTGCTATGTCCTCTGAGATATCCCGATCTAGTGAAAAGAAAAAGAGGGGATAGATCAGGTCCAACGTTTTTTCTTAGTATCCTATATGCATCAAAATCAGATCACTTCTTAGTCTGTGACAGCACAGAGTAAGAGGTCCAGCTTTCCAAGCTGCTCTTTGTATGGCAAACATCGGAGTTCTGGAGCTGCACGGATAGCTGCCCTCTGTACTTTTTCAAGGATATCCGAGTCACCTTTTAAACAGGAGCTTACATTCTGAGCGCAGTTTTCAAGCTTAGTCCCCACTAAGGTTGTGTATAATGTAGTGAACATTGTAGTATCTAACTTGGTGAAGGTTCAGGTTAAAGCCCATAGGGTTCCAAACCCCTTACCTGCAATCTCCCAACAGTGAACCGTGGTCTTAAGATCATGACTCACTATCACCCCAAGATCCTTGTGAGATCGGACTACGAGTACAGGCACTTCCTCTATGTTGCATCTATTTACCGTTGTATCCCTAAAGTGCATATAGACACACTTTGCCGCGTTGATAGGCGTTCACCACTCTTTAATCCAGCTAATCACAATATTTAAGTCTGCCTGAAGTACGCATGCATCTGTGTCTCCCATTATTTCTCGTCAGATTTTTACATCGTCAGCGTATAACAGCATTAGGAACTTAACTATACTAAACTATACAATACATGCAGTATAAAAGGTAAAGGAACTAAGAAAGAACCTTGAGGTACTCCACTAAGTACTGGTCTCCAGGTGGAACACTTTCTGTCTAAGACCTACTAGAGAATCCTTAAATCATTTAAGGAGAGGTCCGGCAACGCCTAGATTTTTGAGCTTCAATAGCAGTTCATTTGTTAGCAGCTTGTCAAATGCTATGCTGAAGTCTATATAGACAACACCCACTGATTTTATATTGTCTGGCGCTTTTGTCCGTTGTTTCCTTGCTATAAATAGGTTAGTTGTGCAAAGTAAACCCTTTTTGAAAACATGTTATTCGCTGTTTCACAAGTTGTTGGTTTCCACCAATGTAATTATGGTCTTTTTGACTATTCTTTCCAGTATATTACCTACGACACTGGTGAGGCTAATAGTTCTGTAGTTCGATAGAAGTTGCCTCGGTCCTGTTTTATGAATAGGAGTGACGATTGTATCTTTCCAGTCTGTAGGTAACACGCCTTGGTCAAGTGACATATTGAATATCGCAGTTAGTGGGGTCTTTAGCGTATCGAGAATGAGTGTGCAAGTCACTGTGCGTAAAAGAAATTGAAAAGCCCAAAACGAGGAAGGAAATGGGTAGATGGTTCGGTAATATCACAATGAGCACTTAACTTTATTAGAGAAGACAAACGACAGTGATCGCTAGTAACGTAAGTCGTGTGTGAATGTGTTAGGGACGGTATTTCACCAAAATTCATATTTGTAATTTTATCATATCGATTAACTTGTCGATTAAGCGTTTAAATATTTGAATGGAAGTCAACTGATGAACTTATCGATTAAATGATTAAATAGCAGTCAATTGGCGAACTTATCGATTAAATATTTGAATGCCTGTCGATTGATGAACTCAATGAGTAATGTTTAAAAACATTTTACTAGGACAATATAGATTATATATATACTCGTATATATACGTTTTAAATTGTGTTTGTGGGCTCGCCCGTTTTCTAGCTGTTTGCAGAATATATTTTCCATACCAAGCTTGGACTTATCCTTCTAGATAGCGGGTCTGGGACGCATCAATAGCTAAATTACTGGTCTTTGGTCAATGACTCTTGTTCTCGTTCGCAGATTAAGTGAACTCGTGAAGCATTAAACTTATCAGAATGGTCACCATAGATTTACTTGATAGGTTGTTTTCATTATTCATATTTTTCCTGAATAAACAAGTTCTATGCCATCGCTGTTGTTGACTGTAGAACGTGTTGTTTATATTTTTCTCTGACCGTCTTTTACCATCTTGTTCTGTTTGTACGTCACTGATTATCGCTAGTAGAGACGCTGCTGCCCACACACTTGTTCTCACATATCATCCACCGCGATAACGAAACTTTAATATAAACCATATCTGCGTTTATAGATCACATATTTACGCGACCGGGCCTAATACACATTATCTTGTATTATATACATCGTACTTTCGATTACTAATAATTTGTTATAATTTTGGACTACGAGACGCGGAACCTGAACACGCTTTCGGCTGACAACTTAATTCATGTCTCATATATCAAGCATATATTTATATATATTACATATTATCCATTATCCTCATACTTTTAGTATCGACTTTTCACTACTCTAGTATTGATATATTCGGTCCACCATAGTCTAAGATCAAGTCATTTTCGCAATCAAAAATGTGTCTATAGTATGAGGTTTCAAATCTGTCTTAGAATTTTTACTTAAATCACCTTATGTACTTATAATGGTATTGAAGTAGATAAGAAAGATTGGTTCAGTGAAGAGTTCTCTTTTCGGCGAATTTACTTTCAATGTTATGCAATCGCAAATATATACAAACATATACATCTGGGGGATATTATTTACAATTATAATACTTCTGTTAGACATGTTGATTAAGGTAGAATAAATAAGGGTATCTTTCACTTCGAAGTAGCACTAAATGTTAAACAGTATGAAGATGCCATAAATATTTGGAGAATGACAACACCTTAACATGTAACATCTATAATCGAAACGTGCCCCCAATGAAATCAAAAGTCAGAATCGTAGAGGTTTGAAGATGTACTTAATAGGCTATCAATATATCGAAAACTGAATGATCTAACCTGGCTAGCGGTTGCAGGAGAAGTTGAGCACGGTGTCCCCATTTGTGATCTAGTGCAGATTTGTGATCGAGTGCCTCCGGCTAGATGGGTTCATCAAAACTAATGTGGTCAGCATTATATGTTGAAGACTTACAGAGCTACTGACTTTGGAGATTCGTATACCACTACAAGTGGATAGGAAATGATGAAGATCAGAAACTGTCAACGTAGGGTTTATATGAAGATGCCTTAAATCGGGTCAAGCCGTCTGCTTCTAGTTTCAATTTCTCGGTTGTCTTTCTCTGAAGATTATCATTGCTGGTTGCTGTCTATTGCTTCCCTTAATAAGTGTAAGGGCACTGTGTGCGCTTGCTACGCCATCGACTCCTCTTTCCTTATCTTTTTCTTCCAGTTCTTTTCACTCACCCGCTCTGTGTCTCCTAGTATACAAAGTGTCTTCTGGCTAAACTCAAACCGTTACGTCATAGCTCAGTCATTCATCCTGATCGTAATAGATCTCTTTTCCCTAGATTCAGTAAGTTGTTGCTTCGGCGAACCGGGATTCATTTTTTAAGATTCTTACACACGATAGCGCTGGTTGTCATGATAGGGCGAGTCAGCGCGGATGATGGTTAGGTGATCAGATAAATCACATAGATTCTACACGTCCTTTTTTGAGGCACGTCACAAAAACAATAAATTTCGACCCAGTACGCGGATCATTAACCTCAGGTCTTGCCTTCACACATCAGTCCTACAATGGTTCAGTCCAGTGATCACACCCTCAACAGAGAACAGAGAGTGCTCGAGCGCTCTTTAGGTTCAGAGTATACAAAGTCAAATCTGACATCATTCATGTCGTCGAAATATACGGCGCACGGATATTTTGGCCGTTTAAGGTTGTCGATCTATACGACGAAGAGGTATGTAACACTTCTGATGATGGTGGGTTCTCTAAGTTGCATGATTTAAATGAAGAACTTTCATTTTTATTTCTGACAATATCTTCCGTCCATAATTCATGTAGAAGTACGCTTTCCATATGCTTCATAAGTGTCGTATCAAATCACTTCTATGGCTCTATTTGTAGTTGGTAGTATTCGTAGGTTTTATGAACTTGATTTACCTTTGTTGGTTGGTCTCGAGCTTTGTAATTAACTAAACCCTTTCTGATGGCCCCAGGGATCGTCTGTATGCATTGAGATCTCAGATACCATAGGATATCAACTCACTGCCAGTATCTTCATTTGTGCATGGAGGGTTTGTACTCATCGTCCAATGAAATGTTCACAAGTGGTGCAACTCATTTTATAAGCGATGCTACATTTGTCCTATTTTTGCTGTTTTCTGGTTTGCATGGAATGGAATGAAATGCTTGTATTACTCCATGGGTGACAGTGACTCCGAAATATTTCAGGATCCTTGTGATGATTTCTGAGGCAATTTTTTCATATTGCCAGATGATCTGTTTTTGGGTCTATGGGGTTGGTCTTTCGACGGTATTTTAATGAAGAGGCTCAGTCATAGGGCAGGCAAACTGCGGATGAGTTTCATAAATTTTCTATAAAGCCAGTGTATAGAAGTGTATTTAGGCTCCTGTGGACAGTGTTTCGACCCAACTCTTATTGTAGTTCAGTATTTATTACATATGCCTTGGTTTTCTGTATGCTTGTTCTTCAAAAGCTATCGTGTTTATATTTTTGATCAAACTGTACAAGAATAAGGTATCATTTCACGCTTCCAATTTTCCTGAAATTTTCATATCGTTCAAAATGATGTTGATTAGCTGATGATTTTTACTAATAATCGAACCAAGAAAATGGGTACTTCATGTAGAAGGCAAGATTATCACGCTTTGATGAG